GAGGCAAAGCCACCATGATGGGGCATCACTGGCAGGTCCATAGCTAGAAGTGACTGAGAATCCCGGTGGTGAAATTGATCCCAGGCTGGGGACTGTCCAGCAAAGCCCAGCACGGTGAGTGTGTTACTTCCGCTAATCCTGCTTAGGGGCGGCTAGCTGGGGGCGACTTCATACTACACTCGAGTTATGAAGGGAACACTGCAGGGCTGTTCACATCACTCACTCCACCTTTTAGAGCTTTTCTGGGGGAGTTATTTTTCTTCCCCCAGCAGAGAACAAGCGGCCTTCTTACAGCAATTGTGTGATACCCAAAGTTATTTATTTGGGAACATCTCCATGCCACCCTTCTACCTGTCCAAAGACAGCAGCCAGGTTTAGTTCAGTGAGAACCGGCCCACGGCAGAGAAATTGTGGGAACCTGAAAAATTTTCATTAAACTGGGGAAAAAAATGTTTTCAATTTGCCAAGTCATCTCTTGTGTTTCCAAACAACAAGCAGTCCTGTGGCACTTCAATCTATGTCTACAAAACCCAGTTTTTCTGGGATACTGGAGGTATCCCGGAAGAACTGTTCCATATCCAGGGAATGTGTTTGCTCTTCCACAAACAAACGTGCCCCTTCGCAAGGCACTGTATTCCTCGTTCCATAAGTAATAAGGGGGCTTCTGAAAGAGGGGTTTTCCTGACATTTGGCCCAGTCTAGATGGCCAAATATTGGAAAAGCCTCTTCCAACAAAAGAATCGAAAAAAACTACACAAAATGCAGTGTGTAGACCTAGCCTTAGAGACGAAGTTAGATAGCTAGATAGATTGACAGATTGATTGAATCCTGAGGCCGGGTGTAAAACTCATTTCATCCAAGTCGTTTTTGTCCAAGAAAGTTCATGATTCTGTATCTATATATTTGTTAGTCTCTTAAGTGCCACAGGATGACGTGTTGTTTCTAAAGCTACAGAGGAACATGACTGCTCCTCGGAAATTTGTGTTCTAAGAACTGAGGACTCCGTGGAAATAATTTGAGCACGATCCCCCAAATTCGAATGTTAGTGAAAAGCCAGGGTGTAAACGTTCATATTGCCCAATAATACTCAAATCTGAACCCCGTCGTGCTATGCATCGGTGTGCATTGCCCTGTCAAAGGGACGCCAGTTGAATGGTAAAGCTGAGCAAGCAGCAAAGTGGTCAGGTAGGAATTAAACATCCTGGTGTGTTGACAGGAGAAGAGTGAATGGAAGCTCCCGGCCACAGCCCGTCTCTCTTAGCCCAGCCCGTGGACATGGTGGAGCTCAGTGGGTTTAGAATCGGCATCCAGGAACACTGCCCTGCAGTCAGCCCTGGTGCCAACTCTGCCCACACATTTATACAAGCAAATTCATCACTGGAGCCAACCACTTCAGCCACCAAATCAACGGCTCATTGAACTGCACATCCATTAATGTGATCGATGCCATCAAATGCCAGCAATGCCCCACTGTGATATGCAGGGCTCGCCGAACCGCGGTGAGCCCCACTTGCCAGCTGCGCTGTCTGGCGATCTGCGCATGTGCCGATCGCCAGAACCCAACTCTTTCAGGTTACAATCTACTCGCCACGGGCAAGCCCTGGTGATATGTATTGGCCAATCTGGACAGTCCCTCCGGGAAAGAATCAATGGCCACAAATCAGATCTCCGGAAAGGGAATGCATAGAAAGCTGTTGGTGAACCCTTTAATCTGCCTGGTCATTCATTAAGAGATCTTCAGGTGGCTGTTTTGTCACAGACCAATACCACAAGCCAAATACACAGGGAAGAGTTGGAACTACAATTCATTCACAAGTTTAATTCTCATACTAATGGTTGGAACTCAGATGCCGGTTGGCTGGGACATGATCAACCCACCAACCAAAGAAGGTGCCAATGGCTCCTTGTCTGTGTAGATTCTGGTGTTAGTACTCTTCCTCTCTAATTGCTAACTCATGGTCCATATCTGTTTCTTTCAACTATCCATTCTGTAAGTGCTTTTTACTATTAGTTTTGCCTGTTACATACCAGCTCAGTTGTCCCTTTGATATTTATATACCCACTGCCGCTTCTTGTTCCCCTCTCCCATTTTTTTCCTTACCCTCCCCTCCCTTCTCCACTATTCATTTTGTTTCTGGACATCCAACACTCCGGTCGTCTGAAGAAATGGGCTGTGCCCACGAAAGCTCATGATACCTTCTACGTGTTTAGTTAGTCTTTTAAGGGCTACCAGACTATTTTTTTTCATTTCTCCTTTGACACACAGACTGTGTCCAGACTCAGGGGTTTTTTCGGGAAAAGTAGCCTTTTCCCGAAAAAACTTCCCCTGCGTCCAGACTCAAGCCGCGTTCTTTCGAAATTATTTCGAAAGAACGCGGCTTTTCTTTCGATGGCGGTAAACCTCGTTTCAAGAGGAAGAACGCCTTCTTTCGAAAGTTCCTCTTTCGAAAGAAGGCGTTCTTCAATGTAAAGAGGCCGTCTTCGAAAGAGAGCATCCAGACTCGCTGGGTGCTCTCTTTCGAAAAAGCGGATTTCTCTTTCGAAAGAAGCGTGCAGTCTAGACATAGCCACAGAGAGACTGGTTTGGCCAATGCACACGGCCAAGGGGCATTTCTAGCACGAATGGCATAGAACACGCTGGTGGATGTACAGTTGTCTGAGCCCCTGAGGCGGTGGCTGATGTGGTGAGGTCCTGTGATGGGGTCACTTGTGTCGATGTTTCGACAGAGTTGGCAATGAGGTTGTTATGATCATGAGAGATGGCCAGCAGTCTGGGGACTAAGGGGTTAACTATACCTAACCCAGGTAGAATCGGCCAATAGGAATGTAGGTAGGAATTTCAAGCTGGGACAAAGGAATTTTTGGTTTTTCTCTCCTTTCTCCTGGGCAATTTCTTTCCAGCTACTGAAAGGTCAGACAAAATGTCTCCCTCCAAGAAAAGAATTCACTAGCTGTAAGTAGGGTAAAGTTTAGATAAATCCGTTAGCTTTTATCGTTTTGGGATAGGATCTGATGTCTGTGCATTTAAAAATGGGTTTTCCTCTCCTTTGTAACTAAGTTCTAGGTCTATGGTGGGATTTCCCCCATGAGTATATTAATTTGTGGCTTTTCCATCTAGTTATTATGCTTGCAACAAGAATATTGGGTGATAATAAACGTTCTTTCTCTTTTCCTTTATTAACCTGGTATTGGGGAATTTTTGTGTCCTGGTTTGTACTTTAGGGGTGAGATTTCCCAAGTGGTATCGCCCTGGTTTCTTTATTATTACTTGGGTGGTGGCATCGGATCTTTTATCCCCAAAATCTAGGTTGTTAGATTTTGGGGGGAAGTTTCTTACCAATGCCTGGAAAGAGAAGGTTTTGGGGTCCTTTTGCGGGCCCCCACTTCTGCATTTATAGAGTCAGAGTGGGGAAGGAGCCCTGACAGGGGGTTATTTCAGGGCTAGGTTCCTGTGCTATTCTGTGCTGTGCTGTCGGGATGCTGGACAGAATTTGTTTCAGGTTGGGGGCTGTCTGTAGGCAAGGACTGGCCTGTCCCCCACGGCCTGTGAGAGGGAGGGGTCATTTTCCGGGATAGGTTGCAGAGGGTTAATGATGTGCAGGAGGGGATAGGGACGACCAAAAATGTTCTGTTCTGTTCCTCGTTGGGCCTGTCCTCAGACCCACGGCCCTGCACAGGCAGGAAGCGGCTGAAGTAAATGACGCAGCAGAAAGGTCACCGAGTATTACTAGCTCGTGCGACCAGACATCCTGGTGCCCAAGGCATCCTTAGGGCTTAACCCCGTCCTGCCCGTGCTGGCGCCAGGGGAGAGGAGGCGGCTGGGTTATCTTGGTGGCTAGTGGGAGCCTGGGGGTCTGAGCTGCCTTTCAAAGTGAGGGCAGGAAGGAACAAGGGGCATCCAGAAACGGGGGGAAGGGTATTGGTTAGAGGAGAAGAGATGAGCTCTGCCCCATCAACCTTTCTCCCCCACCTCTCCTCCTGTGGCTGGGGCTGCGCCCATCCCTTTCCCCCCCCCA